TAAATTAAAAAATATATATACAATATCTTCAGTGAAAGTATATTAAAACAAATAAAAAGTAACACCATTTAAAAACAAAACAAAAAAAAACATTATTTAAATGAAAAGAAAAACAGAAATCAGGTAAAATAACAAACAAAACGTTAAAAGTACTATGGGTTGATTCTAAAAATTAAAACTCAAAGAATTTCAACAACCATTCACCTCAGTCAAAATTTGATTCATAATATTTATTAATTGTAGGTAAATGATTGACTGTCGTGAATAATGAAGAGAAGAATAGTTGGGATGATCAGTCAAATAAGAAGGCAAAAATAAATGATAATATTTATTTTGACATTTGCCGACGTTTCGACCTGAAGTTCAGGTCTTCATCAGGGCTGTCTCCAAAAAGGTTAAAGGAGAAACCATTTCTGAAAAAAAAATGAACTTGTTGATGAAGGCCTGAACTTCAGGTCGAAACATCGGCAAATGTCAAAATAAATATTATCATTTATTTTTGCCTTCTTATTTGACTGATCACCCCAACTATTCTTCTTTTCATAATATTTATTTCATTGTACAACGTCATTTTGGGATGTGAGAAGGAATTGGTAGAGATGATATCTGAATGAGGAGAAGAAAGAGGCATGGTGGATATCAGATGGCAAGGAATTCTTTTGAATAGATATACTTAAAAATATCCAAACAAAATAACTGGATTTATTACAATTTTTATACATTAACCTAGCTACATTTTTAGAACTTTTCTAGCTAAAAATGGACAATGTTAAAAAAATGAAAAATATTTTTGATTTCTTAGTTTGAACTAGCTTAAAATAAACTTCTTTTCACGGTCTAACTAGTGATATCAAAATGTCAATAAAAATATTCTCATTAAAATATATTTATAGTTTTATTTATTAAATATATTTTTTGTCAACTTTATACTATAAAACTTATAAGAAAATCACAAGGAAATGTAGATTAATAAGTTATAAAATCGTAGGATTGTTTTTATATAACTATCTCTGAATATAAATGAAAATTTAAATAATAGGAATATTTAGATCGTGATAAAATAGTTATGTACCTACTTAAAAGCCTTAGACTAGCCAGCTAATGGAATTTTCTTTAATCATTTTTTTTTAAATCAAATTATTGGGGGGAAGGCGAAACGATATTCTCGCCCTCTCAACATTTTTATTAGGGGGAGGGGCGATCGCCATTGTCATTAAAAATCAAGAGTTGTAATTCCAAATTTATAATAAAAAATCTGGTGCGCGCAACACACAACTTGCACTTACCTCTCAATTTTGAAAATAAATTACTTTCTGGGCATGTTGGGCTATTATAAAATGTTTGAATTGCATTTTTAACAGAACTAAAGGTAAAACATTCCAGCTAACAAATCATAAATACTATTAAAATAACAAAAATCCTCTTTATTATATCACCGGTTGATTATGGATTATAAGATTCTTTGATTATAGATTGTATGACTATTAGTTATCCTGTATATTATTTCTAAAAGGTGTTCTTTTGTCGGTACGCCGTAACTTCGTCAATTCTTTATCAAATCCAATGATTGATCACTCATTTTGAAGATATTCTTCTCCTTCACATGCGAAAAATGGTCATATCCTCCCGAAATTACTGAAAAAAAAGTTATGAAGGAAAAGAAACTTTACTTGCCAATAACTCAAAAAGTATGAAAGGAAAAGAAACTTTATTTGATTTAAACTCTGGTTTTATTTCGAAAATAACAAAAAGTGTAATAACGTCAATATCCTTCCACCTATTATCATGAAATTTTGCAGGGATATACGGCCTTATAAATTACACGAAATGACATAAACTCTTCATCCCTAAATTATTTAGAACTCAAGTTATAAAATAAAAGCCTTTTAGGAGTTTTTATTTACTCTTTATAGACGCGTTTAATCAAAAAAGATAATTTATACAGCCTTTGTAGAGCGATAAATTCAGCATTCCAACGTTGTAGAAACTATGAATTTACAATAAAACCTAAGGTTTACGAATAGTTTTTAATAACGGCAAGCAAAACATCATAATGAAAAGTGAAGTCGTTGCCATGACGACAAATCATCACAGCCTTCTATCCTATATATATTACAAAAATGAGCTTTTTTTTGCTATTATTTATTTCTAAAGTGCCAAAGCTCGTCAATTCTTCATCAATCTAATGATTCGACCACTCATTTTGAAGATATTCTTCTCCTTGACATGCGAAAAAATAGTCCTATCCTCCCAAAATTACTGAAAAACAAGTTATGAGGGAAAAGAAACTTTATTTGCTAATAACTCAAAAAGTATGCATTTGTTTCTTGACTGTACCCAAGATAATTAGAAAGATTACTAACATACCTACAAAACAAAAAAAAATCGTAAAAATCGGTATCGTGAAAAATTCCTCTTTAAAGATATAAGGGTAAAGGGAAAATTCATCAAATTATTTACTAATTTAATTTTCTAAAAGGTTACTTGATGATTTTTTGGGAATAAACGGACGATAGATACCTTATTATTTAAATATAATATCAGATCTAGAGTTACTAAACTACAGTAAATATTTTAATTATTCAATGTATTGTAATGGAAAAAATAAAAGATTGAGTCCTATAATTTGAGACCCTTTCTCATGACGTAAAGCAGCTTTGCTCTTAATCCGCTTTGTCAACTAACAAAAGCTTCTTAATATAAGTTGAACTAGAGAAGTATTGTGTAGCAATTAAACATAATGTTTTATCTAGATTCTAAGTTTTCCGAAAAAATTCAGGAAAAAAAAATTCAAAGTAGACAATTTTATAAAGCCTCTAAAAAGGTCACTGATTTCTATAAGTAAAGCTTGTGCAACAGTATATACATGAAACATAATCCAATTTACTAATTAATTTATTAACAAATCTAAAATTCCCAGTAGGAACAAAAAATCGTTTAAAAATTGAATGTCCATCATATTGATTTTTTTTTTCAATCTGTAAATATTAGAAAGTAATAACTATGGAGTAAAAAAAATTAACAAATAATTGTTTTTCTTTATATTTAGGGAAAAATAATAATAACGTAAAATGTATATTACTTCGTTGTTTCACGTACAACCAATGATTGCCATATTTTATTACTAATTTCTTTTATTCGGAGAGTTCTAATTAGTGGCGGGGTGTTTAGTAACAATATGTTTAATTTAAACAGTTTCTTTCATTAAACAGATACAGTAAACTGTTTCAACCCAGATTAAACAGATTGTCTTCCATTAGGAAGGGGCAGGTTCTTACAATCAGTGCTGAACTCATCGATGACATGGAATAGATCTCCAAACTAAGCAAAACGAAGCTATCGATGAACTCAGCAGTGAGTGTAGGAACTTGTTGCTATCTCACTTTTAGTAGGTGCAGACAGCGATACCGCCGGGAAAAGAGGGAAACACTGAAACTGTTTAACTAAACAGATACAGAAACCTGTTTCATTAAACAGCTCTTTTTTTTTCTTCTTTTTGTGGGTCCTCCCATTCCTCGCCTTTAAGGCTATACGAGGTTTTCCCGGGCCAGGGAGTGCGGGCGGGGATTTAAAAGACGCCCCCGGCTTCGGGACGCCAACTCGTGATTATATTTTATCATTGTAAAATATATAACAGGTTGCCGGACAACGACTGCGCTGTGCACACACGTTAGCCACTCCGCCCACCATTAAACACCTTCTTACAACAGATATCTATAGTGAACAGTTTTCTGAAACAGATACAAAAAGTTTATTATGCTGGAATTACCAGGGGTGACCACCCTCCCCTCCTCCCACCAAGGTCAATGGTGCATGACCCCTTCCCTCCTCCTAAGATATGTTATTGCTCTCCTCTCTTTGAAAAATAGTAAGAGCTAAAGTAAAATTTTTAAAATCAAAGGACATATACAATTACACTTTCAGTGGTCTGTAATATACTTTTCTCTTGCCCCCTGGTTAGAAACATTTCAATCCGAAAATTCATAACCCACTTTCATAACTTACGCCATGAAAACTCATTGTGGGCACCCCTGGGAATTACTGTACTTTATAATCGATAAATATGTTCGAAATGTTCAAAAAAAAGTTCTTAAAAGTACAGCTCTATCAAAAAATATGCTTGGTGAATTTTTGAAATAAACTAATGATTTTATTCACCGGATGAAGGTCATGCAATTCTGCATTGCTCTTCGTCTGAACCAATCATTCTAAACAATCTTTTATTCAAGTTTTTAGGAATAGTTCATTCCTTAGTTTTACAACTCTTTTATATAAACTTAGTATTATATTTTTACTTTCCAAGCTATACTAGGTAAGGAAAGTATTGCAATCGGGTCAAATTTTTAGATATGCGGTTTTCGACGGATCTATACGTTTCAGAGTGTTTTTGAAAGGTAATGAAATTTCCTACAAAGCCATATAAAAATCGCTCATTTTGGACAACTATAACGAAGTTACAGCTATTCAATTTCCAATGTAAGATTACGAGTTCATATCCTGGTGTCAGAAAGGGGTGAATGAGAGAAAAAAGATGACTAAGTGAAAGTAAGAAAATCTGTTGCCCGCATCACACAAGCTTCACTTTACTATACTTTTAACAGAAATTATTGTTTGACAATACTAAGCTATGGCAAAAGGTTTTTGATCAGCAATATTAGTGAGTATTGGAATGTCAAATCTTTTGTTTGATCAATTTTCAGGAAAATAAATCTAGTTCAATTTTTTTTTTTTTTTTTTTGTTTATTGATGGACATATGTAAAGATACAAAAACTTTTCTGAAATAGGTAGGAAAGTCGCGTGAGTGAACACAAGATTTTTAATTCAATGATTATAATAATATTTGGATTGAATTTACCCATCTCCACTGAATGTTTCAAAATAAAAATACACTTTTGTAATATTAGAAAGAATATATATATATATATATATATATATATATATATATATATATATATATATATATATATATATGTATATACATCATCAGTACATTACTTACCATGGAGAAGAGACCAGAGGCCAGCCACACTACAAGGGCCGAGTTGACCGATCCGGTGTAGAGGAGTACTCCGGTAGGCGACACGAAGATCCCGGAGCCGATGATGGATCCCACGATCACGGTGATCCCGTTGAGGAGCGACATCTTGGCCTTCAGCTTCACGTCGCCACCCGAGGGCTCCGCGATCGGGCTGTTGTCGCACGTCATCTACAACCAAAGCATCTCTGGTTAATATGACTCATGGTACAATAAGAATACAATACAGCAAAAATGCTGGGATCATCTGGAGTCCAGTTTTCCCTCATTGAGTAATAATAATAATTAAGTATTTATTTGTTCTAGGACGAGTTCTTTTTGAATAATAAAAAAGAATAAACCAATAGAAATAATAATAAATGCTGCGTAAGATTTGTAATTGGTGCCCCGAGATACTCCCAAGTGTCTCACCACTACACTGAGTTAAAGTGGCTCTTCCCCTCCATTCGAAGACAATATTTCCTAGGTACGTTCCTCTATCAAATCATCAACAATCATCGTCCTTCTTACGCCTACAACCTTCTCCAATTCAAGTCCTCAGTCCACTCCCTTTTCACAAGATCTCGACCTTCCGACCTTTACATTCCTTCTCACAGATCTGCCTCGTTCCAAAACTCGTTTATTGCTCGCTCTGTTAATTTCTGGAATTCCCTTCCTATCAAAATTCGGCATTCTCCCTCCTATCTACATTTAAAACCCTCCTATTCCAATTTCTATCCCAAAAACAGTCAGAATCACCCGCTAACCTTCTATGTAAATTTACATATTATTCAAATGATTCACATAATGATATATTACATATAATTCATCACTTAAATACTTACTATCAGATTCGTCTTCTTTCTTTTTTTTTTATGCAGAAACACAGAGTTTATTGCTAAGAAGAATGTAATGTATTTTTTATTTATTTTTTTAAAGTGTATACTTATATTTTACCACTGTACATAGTTTTAAGTGTCTTGGCATGGTTTCAAGTGTTTTGTATATAGATTTTTTTTATTTTGTACATAGTATGTTTAACTAATATTTTCTTTACTTTTTTTCTTTATTTTTACTTTTTATGTTTGTTTTTACTTAGGCCAGATATAATACTTTAATTTTGTACTTTTTTGTTATTCTAAAGGGACTTCGTCCCAGAATAAAATTATTTTCTATTCATTCATAATAAGAAATCATGCCTTATTCTCTAACATTAGCAAATAAATTCAAAAAATAATATGTATGGAAAGATGGTGAAATCGATGAAACGTTAAAGCTGCCAGCAGATGTTTCAATTTTCTTAATAAATGTTTTATCGGAAAAAAAGAAGTGTCAAAGAACACAAAGAAAGCAATTTACAAGAACTCTTTCTTACCTATTCTCACCTACTCAAGTGAGTCTTGGACTCTCACAATGGAACACAAGAGTTCAAGCTATGGAGACTAGATACTTCAGTAAATGAAGGAAAGACCAATAAGAGACCGAGACCGAAATAAGACAATGAGGTCAAACCTAGAACTTAGGGCAACTGAGGATATCATCGAGGAACACCAGCTGATTTGACCATGTTGTAAGAATGGAACAGGACAGGTTGGCGAAAGTAGTATATGAAACAAAGGTAGAAGGGTAGAGGCCAAGAGGAAGGCCTAGGAAGACATGCTAAGGTGCAATCCGGGAGGCCTTTGACAGAAGAAGGCTGAAATGGGGAAAGAAAACGTATGGCTGAGGAGAGTGAACTTTTGAGGTATGCTGAGTCTAAATAACTAAGTACCTCAAAATGGTCTTTGTGTATGTACCAGTGTATAGTCCAGCTAAAAACGAAATGTCGAAGGAACTGAAATTGCGTATTTAAGGTTTGTATATACCTGGGATGTAACAGCAACTTTTTTTTTAAATCGGTAAACCGGAAGTGGCACTTTATTTCATCGATTTAACACATGGTTTGATTGTGCTGTAAAAGCATGGCAGTTCCAAATTGGCTAGCAACCATACATTTATAATCCTATAATATTATTTCTAAAAGGTGTTATTTTGTCGGTACGCCATAACTTCGTCAATTCTTCATCAAATCCAATGATTGGCGGTTCATTTTGAAGATATTCTTCTCCTTCTCTTGTGAAAAATAGTCCCATCTCCCCGAAATGTCTGGAAAAAAAGTTATGGAGGAAAAGAAACTTTATTTACGAATAACTCAAAAAGTATGCATTTTTTTCTTGATTGTATCCATGATAATTAGAAATACTACAAAATTATCTACAAAACAAAAAAAAATTGTAAAAATCGGACAATTATTAACAAATATACATTCCATTAGTTTTGTTATACACAATAATGTCTTCCTGTTTAAAGATATTGGATTTAGGAGTAGAATAGTGTACATTTTTTTTCCTGGCTTTTATATTAACTTTATTATTTCTTAAAGACATTTGGTTGTTCTTGCATTTTATTTTTTTAATAATTTAGAATATCCTATGATCGGGGCATTGTTTCGTCTTTATTACTTTTATTATCTTTCCAGTCAGCGTTTAAAAATAGTTCCTAGCAAAGCAATTTGTATAAATATTTTGGTCTATTATGTTTGATGGAATATTGTAATCGACTAAGGAAAAAATATTAATTCCTTCCTTACATAATACATAGGAACTACTTATTCCCATATTGTGTTATTATTTCTTCATTAAACAAAATTTTCTGCGAATTTTTCGTCGTGTATACATTTTTCAATCCTGCTAACGTGAATATTAAAAGGTTGTGTAATGTGTACAACGAATAAGATTATTTTTTTCTTTCGAATTGCTTATTTTATTTTATATTCATTTTTTTATTATTCCTTATGTTTTATTACTATTTCACTTTTAACTCTAATATATCTTATGATATATTAGTACAAACAATTTTATTGATACTTTTCCTATTACGTAAAGTTATGATGTTATTGATAGGACTTGGGATATTTCAAATGTTACGAAATATTTTATTTACCAAGAAAAATTACACAGCAAGAAATACCGACCGGTATGGCGACTCTGAACGATTGCATAATAAATTAATTTCCATACAAACGCTCTTTTTTATAAAAATCAAATTGTAAATTTATAAACCAGATGTGCAATGTTTTCAACTTCAGCATTTTATAATCGGTGAATCTATACTCAGAAATATTTTCAAGAATGATTCCTTTTTTTATATATATATCATTAAGCATTAGATAGATATCAGTTATATATCCTCGCTTAACATTAAATATAAATATCAAGCCAGGAGGAGGTGCCGCTGGGTAGTGCTCCTCCTCGTGCCTCTCACGTCATTCGATTTACAGGAATGAACATCAAATTCACTGATTGTTGATAATTTCTTTGACAGGTGTGAATGAAGATAAATTTAAAAAAAGTTACATTGTAACAGTGATTTTTATTTAACCTTGGTAAGTTAATGATAAATAATTCAATAAAAAACAGTTAACAAAATAGGGTGAATGCACCAGTGATGGAAAGGATGGACTTTAAATTTAAATAATAAGTTGCCTTGTCGATTTATGGTGCAAGTTTTTTCTAGGTTGAAGAACAATACCTTCTATTGACAACTGTACGAACAAAATTTCCAAAAGAAAATTTTAAAATGCCTGTCATTGTTGTTACTATAGTGATTTTGAGATCAGTGGGTTTCGTATCTTCCTACTAACAGTTTTGCTAAGGGTAAGTTGAACATTTATGTTTGTCTTTAAATGTAAATAATAGTGTTACCCAAAATCGGTCTTCCAAGACCAAGACCAAGGCTGGTAAAAAAAATCGATTTTTTTAATATAATTTAAGGCAAAATAGTTACTAATGCTTGACAATTTTAGTTACTATATGTGAAGAATTGGGATAACCAATATACTTTTGCATTTATATCTTCTGATTTTTCATTCAGACTTAGTTAGGTTTCTTCTATCTAAAAAAATATAGTAATATCTCTATATTAGTAAGCTAATAGGTAACTGCAAGACCGTTGCAAGACTCTTGCGCAAGACCAACACATAGACCAAAACTGAGTTTGCAATACTAAGACCCGTCTCGATCTCACGTTTGGGCAACACTAGTAAACAATAAGTTGCCTTGTTGATTTAAGGGTTCTAGTTTTTTCTATTGATAACTGTATGAACAAAGTTTTCAAAAGAAAATTTAAAAATGCTTACCATTGTTGTTTCTATAGTGCTCTTGAGATCAGTGTGTTTCATACATTTTACCAATTGTTTTGCTAAAAATAAATTGAGCATTTATCTTATATTATCTTTATCGTTATCTTTATAGTTTAATAAAAATTTTAGAATTTCTCTGAGGCATGTCCATTATTGGTACCGACCTCCTGTCCATTACTAGGACAATTGAATTTCGGGATGTCCATCACTAGTACAGAAAAGGTGTTTTTTTTTTTAATGGAGATTATACCTGCATGAGTGTATTTTTTTTTTTCAAATTTAAGTTGTTAGATACAAAAAGGGGACCCTAGAAATGAGCAGTTTATAACTATAATAATTAATAATCTTTGGCTATGTTCATTACTGGTGAGCTTACCCTATTACTTTAAAATAAAAATAATAATAATAATGTAAAACTGACAGAAAGATTCCAGCTGTATTATATTGATGGGTTAGTATAACAATCAAAAGAGATCACAGCCTCATATAGAGGAGCCTTATCAAAAAGAAACTTATCACAGAGGCCTCAAAATTATACGATTAGTTCCTTCTTCCTCGTATGATAACTGCTCTTAAAATAGTTTTTTAATTATTATTTATTAAAAACGAGCTGTTTATTCCAAGACTCATCGATATACTATGTTATGCTGGCATATTTAATAAAATAGAAAATTATAATAAAAATTAAATTGTTCTACAACGAATATTATCAATTAGTAAACATGAGATAGTAAAAAATCGTCAATCAATTATTATAAATAAAAGAAAAATTCCTTCTATTTTTTACATAAATGAGGCCAATATTCACCAACATTTTATTCATAAGCTATTAATTACGACGTTTCGACTATACTAAGGGCCATTTTCAAGTCTGAAAAATTGTAATATCATTATTAGTTAACATTTAACATTTACAAAAAGAATTTTTTAATTACATAATTAACATATCTAACGATCTATGTCATATTATTTTCATTGCACATAGATTTATTCAAATTATACAATAAAAGTATACACTTTTTCTCATAAAAAACCTTACATGTACGTAACTTTAAACTTTAAACCTAACATTAAAAACAATTGAATATTACCTTAATGAGTCCTCCGTTATATATTCATTATTAATGTAGCAATAATTTGTTCAGTGAACATTAAATTGTCCTGCTATTTAGGGGTTTCGCCTACGTCATTTCTGGAGGGATTGACATATATCGTCCTGGTCCATGCACTAATGCAAAACAATAGAAGGAAACCCCCTTTCCCCTTGAGTATCCCCACCAGGACGTAAATGTTAAATGTTAACTAATAATGATATTACAATTTTCCAGACTTGAAAATGGCCGAAACGTATGGCCGAAACGTCGTAATTATAGCTTATAAATAAAATGTTGGTGAATATTGGCCTCATTTATGTAAAAAATACAACCTCAAGACACCAATTTTAGGAAAAATGAACAGAAGAAAAATTCCTTCGTTCTACCTGTGTTCTTCTTAACGATTAACCGTGAACTTAAGTTATTGTTTATTTTTAAAACAATTTATTAAAATTTATTTTAAAAAATACTAAATACTAATTTTAAATTTTTTTATTCATAATAGTATTTTAATTATTATTTATATAAAACTCGCTCCTTATTTCAAGACTCATAGATATACTATGTTAGGCTGCCATTTTTAATAAAATAGAAAATTGTAATAAAAATTAAATGGTTCTACAACAAATGATATCATCAATTAATAAACATGAGATAATAATAAAAAAACATTTTAAATCAATTATTATAAATAAAAGAAAAATTCCTCCATTCTGTCTATGTTCTTCTTAACAGTTAACAGTGAACTTTAGTTATGGTTTATTTTTAAAACAGTTTATTTAAATTTATAAAAAAAAAATACTAATTATTTTTCATTAAAACTAGGACCTATAAGTTTATACCAAAGTTGTTTATATTATTTTTTTTTTTTTATGATATCGGCACTATATTCATTTATATATGTTTTTTTCATGTTGTTTTTAATCCTGATATATTATGTAAGCAGAGAATTCAAGAAAAGAAATTAAATTATTTCAACATACAAAAGGGTTTCGAAATGAAGGATGTTCTTGAATGAACCTCAGATATAAAGGCGATAAGAGAATTTGTTTTATGTAAAACGTAGATGTACTAATTTCATTAATATTAAAAATAAGTTAATTTTTGCTTTAAAAGAAAAATACAAAACACAATAAAAAAATTCTACGAAAAATTGCCAACGCACCTTGGTACATTTCAAATAGTACTCAATATACATAACGACTTGAACATCCCAACTGTAAAATCGTTTTGTCCATAGCAAATACACTTCATTTCACTCTTCAATTCTAAATCACTTCAATCCATTAATCCTTTCAATTTCCTGCTCCCCGTTACCAGATCGACGCAGATTAAAAAGAAAATGGCCAAGGGACCAAATATTATAAATACCAAATGAAGTTAATCAAGCAAACTCGAAATTAATCCATAATAGATCAAATTTGCTAGGTACGCTGCAGCGCAGATGCAAATGGCACAATATTTTAAAATAAAAGTTTATAATTATTTCAAACAGCTATCAATTACAACTCTGAATTAAAGGTAATAAATAAAAACCAAAGATAAAGATAATACTGACCTTTTTAGTTTTAGAGTCTTCCTTCACGCGTATTTTATCCAAACCATGCCCTTCCTGTAAAAGAGATATATTTTTGAGACATCAATTAAGTTATTAGAAAGAACATTAGTAACAATAGTAAAGATTAATGCTATATAATCTTAGATTTTTTTAAAATAACATTAATGTGTTATTGTAATAGCACATAGAAAAATTTAGGTATATCATATAATATTTAATAGATTATACTACGATTAGAATTGTCCAAAATCGACTGCCTAACGTTTGTAAGACCAAGACCGAGACTGGTAAAAAATGTGAAATAAAAACTAAGGCAAAATAGAAACTAATACTTGAAAATATTAGTTACTATTTGTAAAGAATTGGTATAACTAATATAATTTTCCATTTAACTCTTTCAATTTTTCATTCAGGCTTAGTTAGGTTTCCTCTATCTGAAAATTACAGTAATATCTCCATAGTAATAAGCTTATAGGTAACTTATTATATTGTAATATAGTATATTGTTAACTAAGATAAATAATTGTTAACAATAAAATGACTGTGAAATGTGGAAGGTATTGATCATCTGAGTGTGAGTTAGGTTAAGACAATCATCGTGGAATAAGAAACTCATCGTGGTCTCGATTTCCACCTTAAATATCAAAGTTGTGTTAGCTTCACAAATATTTTTATATTCCAGCTTGATTAGTTTTGTTCTGACTAAAAAAAAGTTTTGGTCATGTTAACTCCAAATATACAAAAAGTTGATTTTTTTCTATGCATTTTTGTTCCATACAATTGAAAACATATCTATTAAGTATATACTACTGTTAGTACAAAAGGTCGTATGTCAAAATTTTTATTATATTTGTGTTACGATAGAAAATAGCAGAGGACATTTAAATATGAAATTATTCTAATAGATTATAGAGAAACAATTAGTTTTTAATATTCGCTGATGAACAAAAACCGTGGAAATCAAACCTGTTTATGTTGAGAGATTCCTGAATTTTCCAAAACGGCTTCTCCCAGAGATTTTATTTTATTTTAGGCCTAGTAATACATATATTTCTTAGCTAATGAAAACGGTGAAACGGTAAGGAAGTTATACTGACTTTACTTGGCAGACGTTTTTTATAATTCTGTTTTTATTTATAGTTGTCATATAAACATTATTTATTTGTTTTGTATTATATATATTTATTCCTATTACGAGCTTTTATATTTTATTTATATCCCAGGCTTTTTATACATATAAAAATAGGAACTGGATTGTCTATATAGAACTGTATGAATGGGTTCTGATTTATATAATCAGGTTAAGGGGCAGCCAAAGATAACAATACAATAAAAAAGGGTGTTAGGTCAAACAGATCTTAAGCAATTACGTTTGTGTTTGACCCGTTTTAAAGATCTGTTTGAGTCTTATGAATTAATAATGATTAATTATTGAATGAAATTAGTGAATGGGAAGACTGCGTTGGACCAGTTCTTCTGTAAGAATTAATTGGGAAAAAAAACTTTATTTTTTGTTGTTTTTACTGATTCAATTTAATAGTAAAACTGAATACATATACATACTTACGGCATCGCTAAAAAGACCCACCTACAAAAACTTCAAACGTTCCAATCAAAATTATTCCGACTCATTACAAAAGCACCTTGGTACGTGACTAACAAAACTCTACATACTGATCTCCACTTTCCAACAGTTGACCAACATAAAACGACCCTTTATCAACGATTTTACACGAATTTAAATGGACATAATAACAGACTAATAAGAGACATGGCCACAGCTGACATACCTCAGAACATGAGAAGGAGGCTAAAAATGCGTTGGATGAGGGATCTCATTCCTTATACAACTTCAGTAATTGGAACAAGTTAGGGAAGAGGTACTGCTGAGTACTTTCCTTCCCCATGCCTGTCATGTCATTATATCATGTATCGCCATCACATTTGCTGATTGTCAACAATAAGTTGACAGACGCAAATATTATTTTATAGACAAAAAAAATAGAAAGAAAATAATATTTTGCACGCAATATTCGTAATTTGCTTACCGTCAGCCTTAACTCGCATTTCTGTTGTATATTTTTAAATATATTATACCATTTTCGAATAATTTATTAAAATATTTAAACTAATTATTAATTTAATAAATATTCATTCCATTGAAGTTTTCTCATCTTTAAAAATGATAAAATAATTTATTTCTTAATGATATTAGAAAAGATCTACCAGGAGATTATTGGAGAACATCTACTAATAATAATTATTATAATTTTTTCGATTAATGCTGTTATTTCAAATATTTCATTGGATACTTTCAGACTTTTTGTTGGGTATTATAAGGTTTTTTTACTCCATACAAAATCTGGTATCTGGTCATATGCAAGCCTTGTGAGCGAACGAAATTGCGCACCAGTGAACAGCGTCGAGGGACACGTGATAGCCATTGAATAGGGTACGTATACCGAACCCTTTCAAGCTACTCCACAATGAAGAGGGTATGTCAGTTGTTTGCAACTCTCCCTTCGCAGGTGCTCTTGCGGATTTACCAACAGGCTTCAACGAATTCTCCACTACATCGTTATCATGCGAACTATTTTGATGTTTCATCGATCCAATGTTGTAAAATCCAACCAAGGATAACCGAACTAGGGAAAGTTAAGGACGTAGGTTTAACGCTTTCAAGAAAACTTTTTATGGTGATACTAGGTCGAATAGGTATTGCCAATGCGACCGGAAGGCGCGATAAAAAAATTATAAATTCTTTATGTTACTGTTTTCTGTCTTTGTCCTCCATATTAAATATAATATTATATTGGGTTGGCAAATAAGTCCTTTCGGTTTTTTCAGGGTGAAATAAAATTTAATATGACTGTTTTCCCATATTACCACTAACTGCATAATACCTTTTTTTTTTTTTATTTCAATGGAATTTACAACTGTATTACATAGAGAATACAATAAGTAAATGAGAAATTTGTAACATGGCATGTACAACATGAAGAGAAACTACCCATTGGTAGGACTCAAACTGCATAATACCATGTTCATAGAATGTCTGGAATTAATTGTTTAAAAACTGACCCAAGTGGTTTTTTGATGTCATCTTCCTCTTGGAATTTCTCTCTATTCATGGAGTTCTGCAGAGACCGGAATAAGTGGTAGTCACTTGGAGCTAGGTCTGGTGAACAGGGAGGGTGGGGCAAAAGGTCCCATCCAAGGCTCAATAATTTCTTGCTAGTGACCAATGAGGTGTGGGGCCTTGCGTTGTCTTGGTGGAATTCAACACCCTTCCGATCATTCATAACTCCTCAGGATGTTCTCCATATTCGATGTTACTATATCCGTTGGAAAGCTGAATTATTGCTCTTCAAAGCAGTATGAATGTTTTTTTTATTTAATGCTGCATAAGGAATAAATAACTCCTTATAGGTTTTTATTTTTTGTCTACATTTGTAGTTTATTTACGAAGGTCCTGTTGTAGTCATTTTGTGTAGTTTATGTGGCTCTGAATTCTAGTTAAATTTCTTGTAGATAGCTAAAGTCGTATTGGAGTTATAACATTTTTTTGTGATTTTCGAAAAAAAAAAATATGTGACCCAAACATTAAGCCTGGAAACAAAGCCAAACTTGTGGAAATGGTTTTCTACGCTTGTGTGCGACACATTTAGAGCCATAGCAATCTCTCGCACTGATTGGGAGGGATTTTGATCAACAATGGCCTTAACATTGCTCGTTTCCATTTCATGTGTGCGACCAGACGGTTGAGCATCATTGATGTCAAAATTTGCTGAATGAAATTTGGGAAACTAATTTTGACAAGTACGTTCGTTTAAAGCATCATCGCCTAAAACACTGCAAAATTTTCTTTGAGCTTCTACAGCACGCTTACCTTTTTTTAAAATAATACACAAAATATGCCGATAATTAATGATATTTTCTTGCATATTCACAGTGCAATAGCAAACACAATACGAAGCTAGTTTCAACAAGAGTTAACAGATATAGTTGTTAACATATTACAAATAGAATTAATAATCCACCTTAAATCCATTTTCCCTCCTTGTCCCACATTAACGTCATACTAAATTTCTATTTTAGTTTGTTTCTCAAGTTCTTAGCAAGAGATCATATTTCTGTTTATTTAAAATACCAAAATTATCTTCATTACCATCAATGTTGAAATCATGGATTGAAACTTAAAACAACAGACATGAAATAGTTTTATAAGTGGATATAAATTTGCCTCTATCTCGCCTATTGATGCAGAAGGATTATTTTCTAATTATAAAAATATTTTATAAAAAGTTTAGGTTTCACATAAGCAAATCTACAAATATTTCTGGTAATTAGTTTTAATACAGAACCTGTCTGCGAAGCAGACTAATTCAAACGTTTTATCTATTTTATGTTATTTATTCCACAGGTTGTTAATTCTGTTATCCTTTCATCAAAGACTCGTATCAGATTTTTATCCATTAACATACAAAATTTTAAAGTTATTGTTCCAAATTTATTATATTTTATTACTTTGCTTATTTAATTATATGTTAATACAATTATTGTTTTTGTATACTTTGTACTAAGACGATATTTTTTAATGTGATTCATGTTATGTTTTCGTTACCATTATGATGTAGATATGTATATATAACATTATTAGCCGTATATGTTCAGTTATTTTCATTCTTTAGTTTAAATATTAAAAAATAAATAAATAGATTATTGTAATTTTCAACCAATCCATAACCATTTCGTTTCAAAGCTTTTTGTAGGTACGTCATTATATTTAAATACGTTATTGATATATTAGTAATCAAGTAATTAGTAAGTATAGTATATTTAGAGACCAGTTACTGCATTTTTCATGTGTTTTTTTTACTGCATATATCAGGGATTTTGACGGCATATATTATATGGCATATTCTGTTGGTTTTTTACTGAATTAAAATCCGGGCCTTGCTTATAAGGTATAAATATCAATATTTTTACTTACCAAGAACTTATGGAACTGCAAAAACCAGGGTTGACAACTCATTACATTACAAATTCCAATC